CGTTTAATCTTGTCCAGGTGTGGTGTCGTCGTCAGGGTGTTGTTGTTGTTTTGTTCTTACTGCTGTCTGTCTGTCTGTCGACTGTCTGTCTCTTTGTCTCTTCTATTATCTGTTGTTTCCTCCCCCTACCCTTCGAGACACACACACACACACAGGACCCCATTCCTTACACAGGCGACACTGGGAAGTCATTCTCTTCCTCGAATAAATTACTTTTTTTTAACTCCCTGTGAACCACCTCACCCTCGACGATATTTTTTTGGAGGTCCACCTTGTCGGCATGACCTTTCAAGTGGGCCCCAGTCCTACCACGTTCCACTCTAAACAGGCTATTAACTGGAGGCAAGTGCTAGTAGTCCCCAGTCCTAATGAGCAACAGTCATAATGAAGAGCCGAGAGTCTCAGGAGCAGAAAGTGGAAATCTGAGTGAATGTTCCGTCCGTCCGTCTGTCTGTCAGGGAAGAGGAAGATGGACAAGGGAGAACGGAAATAAGTGAAGGAATGGAAGAGAAGAAAGAGAGAATCAACAAGAGAATGTGACGGTGTTGACAATATTCTGTGTAGTGGTCAGGTCCTCCTCCTACCCAGCCTACCTCTCTCTCTCTCTCTCTCTCTCAGTTTGACCTTTGTCTTTTCAAGCCGTCAATCTCTCACTGATTTTGTCATCTACGTCTTCACCTGTTCATTACCTCTCCCTCCTTCTTACTCCCTCATTCTCTCATTCCTTCCTCCCTGCCTTCCTCCTCCCAATCCTATCTTCCTCCTCCCCTTCTTATCTTCTTCCTCCTCTTCATACCGTCCTCCTCCCCTTCTCATTATCGCCAATGAATGATTCCTTCAAGTGTGTGTGTGTGTGTGTGTGTGTGTGTGTGTGTGTGTGTGTGTGTGTGTGTGTGTGTGTGTGTGTGTGAAAGGACATAACTGAACAATGAGGTCAATTCCAATTCGTGTATAAATGGACAAATTTAATGAACAAGAATACCTCCCAATTTAACCCCTGTATAAACAAAGGGGTAAAATCGTCATGTGTGGACGACAAATACACAATAACATGGACTAAAGGATGCAAATGACGGGTCTATAAGAAGGTAAATACAGGTGTGAGAGTGTAGGGTGTGAGAGTGTAGGGTGTGAGAGTGTAGGGTGTGAGAGTGTAGGGTGTGAGAGGGTTGGGTGTGAGAGGGTTGGGTGTGAGAGTGTAGGGTGTGAGAGTGTAGGGTGTGAGAGTGTAGGGTGTGAGGTGTAGGGTGTGAGCGTAGGGTGAGGTGTAGGGTGTGAGAGTGTAGGGTGTGAGAGTGTAGGGTGTGAGAGGGTTGGGTGTGAGAGGGTTGGGTGTGAGAGTGTAGGGTGTGAGAGTGCAGGGTGTGAGAGTGTAGGGTGTGAGAGTGTAGGGTGTGAGAGTGTAGGGTGTGAGAGTGTAGGGTGTGAAAGTGTAGTGTGTGAGAGTGTAGGGTGTGTACTAAGCGAAATAACACGTCTGAGTCCACCTTAGACTCAACACTAGGGGGAACAAAGTACTCAACATCACTCACACACTGAACTCAGGAAACACAAACACACGCACACGCAAGCAAGCAAGTATACCATTAAAGTACTAAAAAGGAAAAATCAATAACACACACACATACCTGACCGACCGGAAGAGCCCCAGATCAAAGACTCGCCAGAAGTAAACAAACACGAGGCTCGCATAATGGAGTGTGTGTGTGTGTGTGTGTGTGTGTGTGTGTGTGGCGATAAATGGGGGGCTGTTGTTATATATACGAGTATATTTAACATTTCATTAATTACGCTTCTATATATGTTATTTTTTATTTAATTTTAATTAATTGCTACTTTACCTGATATCTTATATTTTCCCTGAATGTAAATGAATCACTGTTGTACTGAGGGTATTACAGGTATTTTATTTAAATATTCTAATTAATTATTCTCCTAATAGGTTTTTTACGTTTTTTTTTCTTTTAACATTTAATTAACTGTATTTTTTTCTCAATGGGATTTTATTTAGGATTTTTTTTAATTATTTTGGAACAGTCTATCTAATACCTCTATTAATTTGGATTTTATTTAGGATTTTAGGATTTTTTTCGTGTATTTAAACAAGGAGAGGACAGGAGGGTCTTATATAGAAGTTAAATGGTGTGTTTTTTCTATGTAAAAGTTAAATATATTTTTTTTTTTTACTCTACGTCAAATTTACGAGGTTTTCACTCTACGTACGTCAAATTTACGAGGTTTCCATTCTACGTACGTCAAATTTACGAGGTTTCCATTCTACGTACGTCAAATTTACGAGGTTTCCATTCTACGTACGTCAAATTTACGAGGTTTCCATTCTACGTACGTTAAATTTACGAAAGATTTTTCACTCTACGGACGTCCAATTTACGAGGTTTCTAAATTCTACGTAAGTCAAATTTACGAGGTTTTCATTCACGTAAGACAAATTTACAGGTTTCCATTCACGTACGTTAAATTTACGAAAGATTTTCACTCTACGGACGTCAAATTTACGAGGTTTTTCATTCTACGTAAGTCAAATTTACGAGGTTTTCATTCTACGTAAGACAAATTTACGAGGTTTCCATTCTACGGCACGTTAAATTTACGAAAGATTTTCACTCTACGGACGTCAAATTTACGAGGTTTCATTCTACGTAAGTCAAATTTACGAGGTTTTCATTCTACGTACGTCAAATTTACGAGGTTTCCATTCTACGTACGTCAAATTTACGAGGTTTTCACTCTGCGTACGTCAAATTTACGAGGTTTCCATTCTACGTACGTCAAATTTACGAGGTTTTCACTCTACGTACGTCAAATTTACGAGGTTTCCATTCTACGTACGTCAAATTTACGAGGTTTTCACTCAACGGACGTCAAATTTACGAGGTTTTCACTGTACGTACGTCAAATTTACGAGGTTTCCATTCTAAGAAAGTCAAATTTACGAGGTTTTCACTGTACGTACGTCAAATTTACGAGGTTTCCATTCTACGTACGTCAAATTTACGAGGTTTCCATTCTACGTACGTCAAATTTACGAGGTTTTCACTCTACGTACGTCAAATCTACGAGGATTTTCCACTCTACGTACGTCAAAATTACGAAAAGTTTCCATTCTACGTACGTTAAATTTAAAAAAGGTTTCCACTCTACGGACGTCAAAACTACAAACGGATTCCTCTCTACAGTTCTACAAAGTTGTCACCTGTGATGCCTTTGGAGGTACTGGGTTTGTTTAGCTCCGGAGAGACGCGGAGGGTTGGTTCAACAGTGACGTTGGTCGTGGGTTCAACAGTGACGCTGGTCGTGGGTTCAACAGTGACGCTGGTCGTGGGTTCAACAGTGACGCTGGTCGTGGGTTCAACAGTGACGCTGGTCGTGGGTTCAACAGTGACGCTGGTCGTGGGTTCAACAGTGACGCTGGTCGTGGGTTCAGTAAAGGAGCTTCCCTTGGTCTCCCTCGTCTTGTTGACTGTGAGACTTGTACCGTGTTTTCCTTTAGGTTCTAACGTGACGCTGGTGGTGGTGTGAGCTTCAGGTCCCTGGCAGCCACTAGGTTTTCTCTCCAGGGTATGACTTGTTTGGACGTGTGTTAACCGGGTTGGCTGGGGCTGGGTGGTGTTGATGGCGCTATAGAGTTGTGACGCCTCAGTGATGTCTGTCTCCAACGTCTGGCTGGCTCTGTGTTCCACCTTCTTGCTTGTTTTGTCGTGATTTTTGTTGTTTTGGTTCATGCTGCCGCTTCGGAGTTTGGCTTGTGCTGTGCTGATTCTGTTGATGCTGCTCCTAGTGATACCGGTGGCGGTGGAGGTTGTACCGGTGGTGGTGCCAGTGGTGATACTGGTAGTGGTGGAGGTAGTACCGGTGGTGGTACCGGTGGTGGTGCCAGTGGTCGTACCGGTGGTAGTGGTGGTGGTGGTGGTGGGTCTGGCTGTTCTGTCCTCTCCGTCCCCTTCTTTCTCTGAGTCGTGGCGAGGAAAACAATTATAACGAAGCAAGTAAAAGCAGTGAAGGAAATATGTAGACTAATTACGACTAACGAGATACCTGACAGTTCACAAAACTCTTTATTTTTTAGTTTTTTACACACGGATCGAGAACACTGTTTTTCCCCCCGCGAGATGTGTAAGAGCTGGGGGAGACGTTGCCCAGACTAGCTCAGGAGGATTGTCCGGTGCAATACTCTCTTCCTCAATCAAGAACAATGCTCGAGAGGATCAACAATACTCTCTTCCTCAATCAAGAACAATGCTCGAGAGGATCAACAATACTCTCTTCCTCAATCAAGAACAATGCTCGAGAGGATCAAGTCTCGTCAAACTTTACCAAAACTTGTCTTGAGAAAATGACGTGAGGAATAAGTTGGTTCGACTGGCTGGATGGATGGCTACCTTGTGTTGCTGGTACAATGACGACTCTTGTGACACGTCTAGAGTATGTCTTATTCTCTGTTACTGCCAGACATGAGTTTGTGACAGGTACCGTGTTTGTTTGTTTGTTGATATCGCTTAAGTGATAGTTCAGAAGTACAAACAGTCAACATAACTAAGGTATAGTGATAAACGATCGTTGTTAGTGATGTTAAGAGTGATAATATACCTTCTTAGAGATCTACTATTAATTCAGTATCAAGTAAGTGTGTGTCCGTACCAGACATGAGGTTTAAACACTGGTAATGTTAGAGTGTGGACAAGACAAACGTCAGCGGCAGATGTGTGTTTAAAATATTCACTTGTGGAAAACAGTGGAAAAAATATTAATTACACGTATCACTTTACTAGTCTTCAACTAACAATTATTTACGATAGGAACGTAGGCAGCTGTTATGAGATTCACTTAATGATATAGAGTAAAATTATATAATGTTAGATATTGAATATATTTAGTTATGTGTGTATAAGACAGGTGTCGTCCAGGTGGAACAGAGGCACCACGACCATAAAACTAGACCATTAACTTAGACAGGTAGGAAGACGGCTGTAGTTACTGACCTTGCGAGAGGAAGACGTTGGAGTTAGGTTGCTGGTAGGTATCGTCAGGGTGGTGGTCCTGGTAGTGGGGGGAGGGAGGAGCCACGACCGTGTTGTTGGTGGAGGAGGGTGGAGGGACGCCGCCAGCCCTCCTGGAGGCGGCCAGAAGTGGGTGGTGGTGGGAGGGACCCCGGACAGGGATCTCTGGCGGGGCCGGGTCTGGGGGCGTGCCGGACGCGTCTGTAACAAGGGAACAAAATAGTTAATATCTGTAACAAGACCCCGAGACAACGAGGTGGTTCAGAGAGAAATTATGTCAGGTAAAATTCCTGTTAGAAATAATCACCAAACAAAATAACTGCGAATCTTATTAGAGGAATTAATACAGGTAGGTATAATAGCCACCAGGTGTAATAGATACGGTCAATACTATAACAAATCCCTCAGGTATAATTAATTAGTCTCTGATTATAATTAATTGGTCTCTGATTAATGTATTTTCAGTACGATGATTTACCCATTGTTTAAGGTGACAGCCACTTGAGTACAATGTATTAACCACACACACACACACACACACACACACACACACACACACCTCCTTCTCCTCCTCTCTCAACCTGCCCACCTCCTCTCCCCCCCACACATAAATAACCTTTGTCCCCTCAGGTCATTTACAAGTTACAGGCGAGACAGAGCGAGCAAAATCACCCGACTTTCATCTTCCCGACGAAACATAATAGCAACACCACAAAGACATCGACCGAATTAGTGTAATCCTCTATGACTTAATCCGTGATGGCTGTTGTCGGGTAAATCCTCATGTAATCTCTCCCCTCCCTTCTCCCTCCCACCTCTCTCTCTCTCTCTCTCTCTCTCTCTCAGGTGTAACAGACTCCGTGTAAAGGTCAATGTTATCGCGTAATCCTCCAAGGTGACAAGTCTCTGATGAACACGACCCGGAAGCAAAGACTCCACACACGTCACATTTTTTAAACTTTCGTAAAATTCAACATTCATTTACACTTCAATCTTTAAGGGGTTCAAATTAAGGGGTTCAGAAAGGGTTTAAAGGGAAGATACCAAGGGTTCAAAGTAGGGCATTAGTCGGTGGTTAAGGGTTCACTAAAGACGGGCTCTAAAAGGTTCGTGGGTTCACTTTTTCTCTGAAGCTTCAAGAACGAATCCATTTGTGGTTCTCTCAAGAGGAATTTCAAGTGCTGACCAACACTACCACAGCAAGATGAGGCAGGAGAGACATTGTCAGTCACTAGTCAGCCTCTCACACACACAGCACAATAATAAACAGCTTAGACATATTTACAAACAATAATAAACAGCTTAGACATATTTACAAACAATAATAACAATAATAGAGTAATTTAGTTGTTTTAACATCATTTGTAACGTGAAAAAAAATATTGTATTTAACTTAATCTATTAAATATTTATAATCTGAATAATAATAATAATAATAATAATAATTAGATATCACATTCTGACTCATCATTATTATATTATCATTTATATTAATTAATTTATCCAGATAACAATATATTATTTTTATTCGTATTTTTTTCCGTTTCATTAATTATTTTCTCTTGTTTTCATTTATCGTTTTTTTTTTCTTTTATTTTTTGTCACCATTCTTGTCATTATAATTCACGTGATGAACTGTTATTATTTTTATCTCTGTATTATTCAATGGCTATTATCCTTTAGCTGTTTAAATACATTTCAATGTTTTATTTATCATTTATTATTTATTATTATATTTCGTCTTTCATCAATGGCGTTTCATTCATTAGAAGTTATTTAGTGATTGTTATGTAGTGGAGTTGATCGATGCTCTTGGTGTTGCGTTTTGTTTTCCTTCGTCTGTCGAGTTGTGTTGTGTTATTGTGAACATCTGACCTAACTTAACCTAACCTAACCAAACCTGATCTAACCTAACCAAACCTGATCTAACCTAACCAAACCTAACCTAACTTAACCAAACCTAATCTAACCTAACCAAACCTAAACTAACTTAACCAAACCTAACTTAACCAAACCTAACCTAACCTCAACCTAACCTGAGCTAACGTAATCTGACCTCCCCACAGGTAGCGTTAGGGTGCTTAATCTTCAGGTGGTCCGTCGTCCTGGATGGAAGAAGGGTGCAGGGAGGGAGGGGGGGAGGGAGGGGGGGAGGAGGGGACGAGGAGGGAGAGGGAGGAGGAGGAAGGAAAAGGAGGGGAGAAACCGGAGGAAAAGAGGAGGGAGGGAAGGAAAGAGGGAGGGAGGAGAGGGGCGGAAGAGGAGGAAACGGAGGGGGGAGGGAGAGGAGAGGGGAGGAAGGAAGGTGGGAGTGAAATGGAGTTTGAAGGAGGTCTGTGTTTTCCTCCAGAGTTTATTTCGAGTTCGTTGTGTCTCTCGAGTAACAATGTCCCCCTCGAGCTCTTACTTCAAGTTCCAACTCATTGTGAAACGAGGGAGATAAATTTTCTAAGTAAGTTACACAGTTTGGAGGAAATTAATACAACTCATTCTCTTCCCCTCGTCCTCAGGGAGTCTAGTGACAGTCGGAGTGTGTTGAGTGTGTTGGGTGAGTGTGTTGGGTTGAGTGTGTTGGGTGAGTGTGTTGGGTGAGTGTGTTGGGTTGAGTGTGTTGGGTTGAGTGGGGTGTGTGTAATAATAATAATAATAATAATAATTAACGGTTTATTGAAAAAGTTCTGCAGCCCGAAGGCTGAAAATATGCATTGGGCATAAATGACTTATTACATACATTGGTGGTTTAACAAAAGCCTTCATTAGAGAAAGGTGAAGGAACATAGTGAACATACAGATTAATGTAGGTGTTGAACAGCAAAAACGTAGTGTAGTAACTCCCTCCCAGATGGTGTTAGGAGGGACCTCACGTGGTGTAGTAGTTCCCTCACAGATGGTGTTATGAGGGGCCTCACGTGGTGTAGTAATTCCCTCACAGATGGTGTTATGAGGGGCCTCACGTGGTGTAGTAACTCCCTCCCAGATGGTGTTAGGAGGGACCTCACGTGGTGTAGTAGTTCCCTCACAGATGGTGTTAGGAGGGACCTCACGTGGTGTAGTAGTTCCCTCACAGATGGTGTTATGAGGGACCTGACGTGGTGTAGTAATTCCCTCACAGATGGTGTTATGAGGGACCTCACGTGTGTAGTAATTCCCTCACAGATGGTGTTATGAGGGATCACGTGTGTAGTAATTCCCTCACAGATGGTGTTATGAGGGACCTCACGTGGTGTAGTAATTCCCTCACAGATGGTGTTATGAGGGACCTCACGTGGTGTAGTAATTCCCTCACAGATGGTGTTATGAGGGGCCTCACGTGGTGTAGTAATTCCCTCACAGATGGTGTTATGAGGGGCCTCACGTGGTGTAGTAATTCCCTCACAGATGGTGTTATGAGGGGCCTCACGTGGTGTAGTAATTCCCTCAAAGATGGTGTTATATGAGTGAGGTGTGGTTCCAGGCCTTCCTATCGTAGATGGATTAACACATCGCTGGTAGTTGGGTCGGGCCGTTATCACTGGGTACCTGGGACCTCACTGTGTGAAAGGTCAACTTGGGTACCACTGTTACTGTTGAGTTGTTCTCACTGACTTAAGCACTGTTCACCACTGTTCACCTCTGTTTAACACTGGTTCCATTTCTTTCCTAAATGAAATAGTGACTTCTGGTGTGAACTTGTTGATATTCCGGTGGGGAGGAGGGTTCAGGGAAGGGAGTTGCTATGGGCCAACATAACAGTTGACCTGGCTGCTCGGAGAGGAGCGCCAGGTACGTCTTGACCCTTCGGTGGTCAAGGATGTAGTATGTGTGTGTGTGTGTGTGTGTGTGTGTGTGTGTGTGTGTGTGTTGGTCGATTTAACTGAATTTACATAGTTGATATATCGACAAAGTTACTGTGGAGTGATACACACACACACACACACACACACACACACACACACACCTTCCTCCATACACTAATTGATCAATGTTAGGTAGCGTGTCAGGTACAGATTGCTCATGACACGCGACAATAATCAAGGACTGGAGACTAGGTGTTCCGTGTTCCTTGAGATGATGCCTTCAAGGTGTGTTATGAGGTGCTCCGTGTTCCATGTTCCTTGAGATGGTGCCTTCAGGGTGTGTTATGAGGTGTTCCATGTTCCTTGAGATGATGCCTTCAGGGTGTGTTATGAGGTGTTCCGTGTTCCTTGAGATGATGCCTTCAAGGTGTGTTATAAGGTGTTCCATGTTCCTTGAGATGATGCCTTCAGGGTGTGATAGGAGGTGTTCCGTGTTCCTTGAGATAATGCCTTCAGGGTGTGTTATGAGGTGTTCCGTGTTCCATGTTCCTTGAAATGATGCTCTCCTCTCAGGTGTGTTATGAGGTTCCGTGTTCCTGAGCAAAGCCACGATCGGACAAAATCCACCGGACTGAACAAAACAAAATCCACTACGAATTAAATCTCTGCCCAATGTCCAATATCCCCCCCCTCCCCCTCCCTGTTTCTCCTCCCACGTCTCTCATTTCTCTTCCCCCCTCCCTCACCTTCTGTCTCCTCCTCCCCTACTCCATCTGTCCCATCTCTCCCCCTTTATCTCAATCCTCCCTCCTCCCTCATCCCCCACCTCCTTTCCCCCCACCACTATAACACGTCTGACCAACAACACGAGGGGGGGGACACCATTCAATTGACACACACACACACACACACACACACACACACACACACACACACACACACACACACACACACACACACACACACACACACACACAACTCAATAAGACCCATTACTGACCACACCTTCCATATGGGTTTTTCGTCCTTATCACACGCATTTTTCCTCTGTGGGCTGGGTGTGGCTAGGCACCGTCCTGCCCGAGAGCCTACAACAGTTAATTCTCCAGAGCCAATTCCGAGAGAGAGAGAGAGAGAGAGAGAGAGAGAGAGAGAGAGAGAGAGAGAGAGAGAGAGAGAGAGAGAGAGAGAGAGAGAGTGTGTGTGTGTGTGTGTGTGTGTGTGTGTGTGTGTGTGTGTGTGTGTGTGTGTGTGTAACCACCACCAACACTCCCTCAGGGGTTAACGCTATTCACTCCAGCCAAGGGGAAGAGAGGGTCGCTGGTATACACTTACCTCCCTCCCCTCACTTTCCCCCTCTTCCTTCTCACTCCCTCGTTCATTTTCTCTCTCACTCTATCTTTCTCCTTCTTTACCTCTCTCCCC